ATATATATATATATATATATATATACATACACATACATAAGATGCGTAAGGTTAAAAAAATGTGAATAAATTACGATCATACGGTATTCAAGGTGATTCAAGGTCACTATCATTAACTAATATCCAAAAATAAGATAAGTTAACATCAAGTATGAAATGACATACTTAACCTCCAATATTGACGATGACGTAACTGTAACACGTGTCACGTGATGTCAGTGTAAACCTGACGTAATAACACATGGTAGGTTGCCACTACCGAAACGCATTATTATCTCGGAAACTCTACGGTTAGTAGACAAAATTATAACCTTTTTAGATTTCGCTTGCGACTCTGTTTGCGTGCAATAAAAAAAGACAAAAGAAAGTAATCTATGTGTTCTTCCAGATCATGTCCTGTACATCTATGGCAAATTTCATCCAAATCCGTTCAGTCTTTTAGACTACAAACTCTAACAAACATCCATCCATCCATCTAACTTTCGCATTTATAATATTAGTAAGAAACAGCCGTAAAAACTTATCCATTTTATCTTAAAAGTTTCATGTCTAAACGTCGTATTTCACCGAAGCAGGTAAATACAGTTTGCAAAACATACAGAAGCGAGAACACCTTATGAATTTTTGATACAAGGTAAATGCCTCCGAGTGGGATGCGAAGTGGCCGTCTTAAAGTTTAATGTAATTTATGCTGTAAACGAAACTCGCTGAAACTCTGCTGTTTCACTCATTTTATTACAGATTCAGGAGTTTATCTTAAGTGTTGCTCTGAGTTTTTTATTTCTTATTTTAAATTTAAAGAAAGGAAGTACGGATTGGATGGATTGTGTGAATGAGGATATGCGTAAGACGGGAGTGAATTCAGATATGATGGCTGCTAGTAATGAATAGTAGGATATACTGTGTCGACTCTCCGTAGGGGCGGTTTGATGATGAATTTTAAACCTTATAATTGCCCAGTTTTAAAGTGTAAAATCTAAAATTCTTAGTTTGAAATTCTTTACAATTTCCAAGTTAAGTTTTAGTAACATTAAATTACATTGACTAACTCCAGTGATTACTTTCGTTACCATAATTTATAAAAATCTATGAATAACTATTACCTTAGTAATTGTGAATACAATTTTTAACTTTATTACAAAGTAAATGCTTGTTATTAAGTTCTAAATTCCTGTGAATACCTCCATTCACGAGATTAGCATTGTAATTGCGATTGTCATTGTAAGTATAGATTTGTAATTAACTGCATGCAAATCCCATGCATTTAAAGTAATACATCTCGACTGTTGCGGTTAACACCTTAGCCGACTCGTCTACCGAGTCCATCTTATTTCTTACTAATATCATAAATGCTAAAGTTTAGATGGATGGATGAAAGGTAGAAGATAATCCAGAACGCTCAATGCATGGAGGAAAACGGCATAAATGTAGAGCATAGTCTGACAGAACACATAGGCTACTTACTTATGTATTTTTTTAATTCCGTGCGGAAGGATTCGTGGGCAAAAACTACATAATTATAGTGGCATTGAATTTATTAAAAAATCACTGATTAGACGCTTTAGTTCATCAAAACACAGTATTTGTAATATATTTCTTCTATACTATTATTGTATTGAAATAACTCAAAAACTACTAGGCCGATTTTAAAAATTCTTTCACCATTAAAAAGCACATTATCAGTGAGTAACATAGGCTATTTTTAATTTGACGCTGGCGAAGTCGCGAGAAACAGCTAGTAAGAAATACAATTCATAGTAAAGTCTAAAAATTGATAGTTTTAACCTCAATTCTAACTTTATTAGGTCAATAACATATTACGTACTTGTATACTCACATTAATATTTACAACATATTTTAATTTAAACCCAATGTTATAACAAGAAAAACATAGTACCAAAAAACACGCTTTAAATATATACCGCTGTGTAAAAACGTTGAATGCTTACAATGCAATATATGTCAAGCATTGTAACAGGAATTTTTGATTTGTCGACTTTTTGTCAGTCGTTACTTTTCGAGTCAAATTCTTTTTTCAATTTGAATTTGTCACATTGCTCAGATAAGATAGAGCCTACGCTCTTATGACGGGTTAATACTAATTTAATCACTTATTGTATAAATCTACACTAAGGGATACCTTAACATTGACTGACAACTGCGGCAGTGATACTGAACATTAAAAATATTTTATTGAAAAAAATGTGTGTTGTAAAGTATGTTGCGGCGATTTAATTTGGCTTATAAAACAAAATGAATGTAGCTTTGTGGTACAAAAAGAGGCAATGAATAGCACATGTGAGTCGCTTTTTAATTTGTTAGAGTCTGTAATAACGCAGGGGAATTGGGGCGGGCCACGACACGCGCGGAATATAGAACAAATGGCTTTATTGTTTTTCAAAGCAGATCTATGCAATATCACAGTTATTATAAAAGTCGCTTCCACGTTTGCAACATATTACAATAATAGGTTTTTATAGATTCATTTTTTGTTATGTATGTCGTTCAATAAGAAACAACGTAATTATAGACAATTAAGGTCCCATCCCACCAAATTGTAAATTATCTGATAACAATCCAACGTGTAAAATATGTGCTTGAAATATCGGGCTTTGTTCCCTTATCTGTTAGTGACGTCACGTTTAAGCTATCTCAGCCTCTATCAGCCAGTGGTAGGACAGGCCATAAGTCTTGGATATTTTTGAAATCAACTTGAAGGGCATTTTTATGAGCATAAATATCGAGAAACGTAGCGTTTGTCCGCGACTTCTTCAACGGGAAAATAATAAAACTTAGCATGTGTTCTCTTAGACTATAGATATTTTAGTAATCATTCATCCATTCATCTAAACTTTCGCGATTAAAAAATTAATATTATTTATAAAGTATTTTTGTTATTGTTCCAGAGGGGCGGTGTGTGAGTGCCGCACCGCCATGTCGCACCACAGCGACGAGCAGGCGCTGCTCAGCGTCGCCTCCGACTCGTTCTGGGAGCCGGGCAACTACAAGCGCACCACACGACGCGTTGACGACGGCCACCGGCTTTGCGGCGAGTTACAAGCACTGGTGCAGGAGCGAGCTGATATAGAGAAGACGTACGCGAAAAGCCTGCGAGCATGGGGAAAGAAGTGGAATGATCTTATAGAGAAAGGTATGCTACTGATCGATTGTGAAGTTTGTTAATGCACAATCCGACTAGGTGTATAACGTCACTAAGTTTTGATTTGAATTGTCTGTAATGCTTCTTCGTCTCCTATACCAATGTTATAAAGAGGAAAAATTTCTATTCAACAATTCTGTTTCAAACTGGACTAAACAACTGGACCGATTTCTCAGATTCTTCCACCATTAAAAAGCTACGTTATCAGTAAGTGACATAGGCTATGCTTTTTTTGTTTTTTTTTTTTCAAATTTCTCGCGGGCGAAGTCGCCAACAATTAGTTAGTGTTTGATATACATAGTCGAATTGTAAACTGATTGAGTAAGCAATCGTTACATTAACAGTAAGAAAAAGTCTTTGTAGATAAGTGATCTACAGCGTCTAACTTTCTATGTTTGTTTATAAGCACTACTTAGCAGTTATTTATTGACAACTCAATAATATAGATCACTATCTATTTATTGTTAAGTCGCCAATAATACCTGATCAATTAACTCTTCAGTCGAGAGTTTCGCGAGACATTCATTACGCGACCACCCACAGCGGACCACTTACACCAGTTTGTAATGTTATCTCGTATCTTTGATAGTTGTTAGAATGGGAAGGAATGCTTTTTACTTGTCTCTCAATAGTATATTTATTTATTGACATTAACAAGAGTAAAAGCGGAGTTTTGTTTAAATAATCAGTACCATAAAAATGACAAAAGACTCGTTTTTAAATAATTTTCTTTATAATTGTTAATAAGGTATATCAGATTTCAATTAACTATGTATGTTTTTTTATATATTTACTAGCTTTCGCCCGCGACTCCGTCCTCGTGGAAGTAACAAAAACAAAACAAAAGTGAGCAGCTTCTGTGATCTTCCAGACTACCCTCTACATCCATACCAAATTTCATCGAAACCCGTTCAGCCGTTTTGGCTACACTCTAACAAACATATATCCATCTCTACACTTTCGCATTTATAATATTAGTATGATTGTCACTTTGTACTCGAAGAAAACAATTTTTAACAGAGAAAGTGTAGTACCGGTGAGGTTAACTCTAAAAGAGTTGTCCTACTGCTATTATATGTGTTCTATACATGTTTACTATCCCATTTTGTACTATTTACCATTTCTATTTAAATCTCACTTAATCGTTTAAACACTCTTTATCGTTATTTTGTCAAATTTATTCTGATTTAATGGCTTCTTGCTGTGAAATTCGTATCGTCTTGTACGAAACCTTTGATCGTATTCAGGGAAGCGCACAAAGATCTTGACATTGCCTACAAGGGTCCTTTGACATGTCTTTGAGGGCCGGATGTCTGTTGGGTTTTTGTTTTATTTTATTATAGATCTTTAAATACTGTACGAGACAGATTATAATTGATCTACATATTTGAATGAATTTACATGTAATTTCTTTTAAATTCTCTCTATGTCTAGACAAAGGTCTATCTGTTTTAAATGACAAAGATGGATGTCTAAGGTAACACGAATGGATAAGATACGAAATGAGTATATTAGGAGAAGTTAGAGAGTAACCCCAGTGGTAGAGAAGGTAAGGAATGAAGGTTAACATGGTATGGGCATGTTATGAGGGATGAATCGCATGTTACAAGGAGAACGTTAGTTATGAGTGTGGAAGGGTACATCGGTAGAGGTAGACCTAGGATGGATTGCGTGAAAGGTGACATGATCAAAAAGGGCGTGATGACTGAGATGACGTATGATAGAGTTATTTGGAGGACAAAAACCTGTTGTGCCGACCCTAAGGGAGTAGCATAAGGATGATGAGGATCTAGACAAAAATCAAATGAGCTAAGTGTAGATTTTAAGGAACGGAAAGCGTTGCATAATTAACCATTAGACAACTCTCAGTTGCACTGATTTTAAGTAAATAACACGTCGTATAGTTTAAAATATACGCACATAAATTAACCTGTCCACACGAACAAACTTACGAAAACTTTTCTAATGCAATCAGTAAACATTTAACGTAAGCCCCGTACGAGGAGTTGCATCACCGCCTACGTAACGACGGACAAACAGACTTCCTAGTATTGATATTTTGAACTGGTATTGAGAGGATAGGAATTTGAAAAGGTTAGCCCCGTACGCATCGCTACGCACCTTTCTCTAAGTGAGTAGTAGTAATAATTACATCAGACACATAAATAACTAGCTGCTCGCGACTTCGTCTGCGTAAAATTAAAAAAATATAGCCTATGTGATAACGTAGCTTTTTATCGATAAAAGATTTTTTGACATCGGTCTAGTAGTTTTCAGTTACTTCAATACATATAAAAAAAACAAATATCTCTTCTATATAATATTATTTGCTGTTGCTCGCGACTTCGCCCGCGTGTACTTTAAAAAAATAATAAAAAAATGTACATGTTACTTACAGCTGAAATACCGTTCTAATGGTAAAAGAATTTTTGAAACCGGCCTAGTAGTTTTTAAGTGAACGCATACTTATCTTTCGTCTTTATAATAGTAGTATAGATAAAATATGTATTAGTAAAAAAAATACATGCTTGTTATGTATATATCGCCCTAAAACACGAACTACACTTGTAACACTTATGTATTTCATTTCGTATTATATAATAGTTATATAACGATATGTAATCAGTATTGTTAGGTATTGAAAGTTTCCGAGGGTGCGGCTATCGGTTATTCAGATCACGGGATCCGAATTGCATACCTTATCGGAAAACGAAAGTATCGTGCGTGAACACTGATTAAGGTGCAGTACATGCACTCACTTTCTAGAAAACATTTCTATTTTATAACAGTAGTCTTTTTTTTATCGGGTGGTAAATCTTCGAAAGATACCCTGTCTTTTTTTATACTTTTTTTATAAAAAGACGGTTATGTGAGATTTCTACTCATTAAAAAACCCCTCGGTGGCCGCACTCAGGTGCATTTAGGGGTGCCGGGATCTCTAATAGAACGTGCCAGTAGACTCTAAACTTCTGTTTTTACACTGTATTGACATACCTGTGACATACGGGGCCGTTCACCTACCCGATGGACCGATCATGTTCAGTCCATACTGGGACTCAACATCCCAACTGCCCGAAGACCGGGCGGCGTGGAGACAGCTCGTCGATGACTCAGTAAAGGCGTACCAGGGCAAGCACGACCTTCAGCAATGAAGAAACGAAGAAGACGAAGATATACCTGTTCTATTATTGTAGGTTCATCAGCGAAACAGTTGCTTAAAATATGCAATCTTTAACCCTTATCTATACTGATATTATAAAGAGGAAACATTTTCATTTTTGTATGTATTGAAGTAACTCAAAAACTACCGAGACGATTTCACCATTAAAAAGCATGGTTATCAGTGAGTAATATAGGCCATGTTTTTATTGTTTTTTTTTTTAATTCACGCGGGCGAAGTTGCGACCAACATCTTTGATGGTTATATTACATGTTTGACAGGAAACTCATGGTGTTACTAAAATAGATACAATGATAATGTGATAATGCTAGAGTTTATATTAGGATTTATATATCAATCAAATTGCAATATAATCTGCAGTCGCTAGTATGTAATTGCTATGATTAATGGTCTCTCTGTTTCACAATGCAAAACAAATAGAGGTGGCGAAATAAATACATCAATATCTCATTTTACCACCGAAAACTTAGCCAGTCGTTGCGTGTCTGTTTATTATTAACTCTGTTGCAAATGGCTATTGTCGGATGTCATTAAATCATTGTCAAAATATCATCTTTATCAGAGTTGAGTAATGTACGGTTGTGTAACTGCGGGCGTTCTTGCCCGTACTTACACAGGTATTACATGAACACCTTAAGTAGTATTTTACGTGTAATACGTGTGGATATTTAGGGATCCGTATAAGCAAATCGCTAGAAAAATTCACAAAACAAATCGTACTAGTAAGTACCAAAATCATATGATGTAACCAGCTTTCGTCTACGACTCTGTCCGCGTGGAATTAAAACAATAGCCAGTATATGTGTTCTTCTAGATTACACTCTACTTCTATGCCAAATATCATTGAGGTCCGTTCAGCAGTTTATGCTCAGAGTTTTTACTCTGACAAACACCCATACATCTAAACATTTGCATTTATAATATTGGCAAGATTAGTAAGATTTAATTCTGTTAAATCGAAACGCGTTAATCAAATGATCAAGTGAAATAAAATAAATAGAAGTAAAATGTATTAAGATAATCTTAGAAATTTATTATATGTTAGTTACGGCTTTATTAAATACAATATCCTTAAGCTTTAACAAGAAAATTACGTTTCTTTCACAAAAGTGTTTCCACTTACTGATTACGCAGCTCCACTTACATATTTTAAGACAATTTCACTCTTGTACTGAATTATACTTAATTCGATTTGTAACTTGAGGTAATTCGATCATCGTTTTCTAAGAAATTGTCCGACGTTATGTCTTCACTGACTTTTCAACCATATTCAGTTTCCTACTTAGTGTACACTTCTCTTAATTTTAAACAATTAATATAATTGTAACTAGCGATATTTATTTAAACACTGCACTAGAGAACTCGTCAGGAATGCGCTCGAATATCCAATCCTGCTTATGACATTGACAGCTGTCAGCTAGGGATGTGACGTTTATGCCGATAATCTAGTGTTGCGCCAATTCTACAGCGCGGTATTAATTTTCTTCTTAACACTACTAAATGAAAGAAAAACACTGATTGAATTAAATGTATTGTATAGTTGTTGTCAGATATCTCAGCGGCTCGGATTATTGTACCAATCGCTGCGCAGAACTCAATTTTAGATGTAGCAGTAGTTAAAGGTATGCGGGAGGAGAGTTTGAGCCGCCTAGATATTTGGAAGAGCTTGTACTTGTCAACTAAAAATCGTATGGATCAAAAATTAGTTGATCAGTTGTTTAGTTTGAACATTTAAAACCGTACTAAAACAAGATGTAAGCCTTCAATTTAACTCGTAATTGCAAACCACAATCCTACAATCCTCTCCCCGAATTGAGATAACCGCAAATGACTTTGAATCTTAATCCACTGTATATTGGTCCAATTCTAATTAAAGGAACTAAGGGTTAACTTTGTTGTTGGTAATTGAGTTTATGTTCATTTGTAGAGTTATACTGAATAGCATAAACATTGACTTCCATTGCTGTTTAACTTATAGATAAACATCTCGGCATCTCTATTTTTTTAAGATAGAATGAGAGGGAGAAGAATATATTTTGTGTAAGTGTCTTAATTGTGAAATCCCATGGTAACCTTCAATAATAATTGCGCTGTAAAATATCAACAGGCAAACATATCCGTATTCCAAAGAAATAACTGGAAATCACACTTATCATAGCGAAATACTAATTTTATTAATATTAACCTAGTATCTAGCTATCTTACCGGAAAGAAAGTAAACATATAAATGCTATGCAAGATGGTATTACGTAGGAAAGTGGTACATCCTTAGTCGAGTATACTCATTCACGCCACTTCATAAAACCAATACATGACGCCTGTTCAATATTCATTTGTATAGGGAATACTTGAGTTTAAAAGCTTATCACGAATTCGTGAAGATTTCGTAACGTCATCGACATTGCATTGGAATTGGGTAGTGCCCTACCGGGCATAAAAAACACCAATAATTTTACAAATTTTGTCGATGGCCTTCTGGCAACTGTCACGCAAATGTTCGTGATAGACCCTGACGACACTTATCGCAAGACGGAACTATTCACTCAGAAACATTACGAAAGTTAGGTAAAGTTACACTGGAATGAATTCTCGATCATATAATATGAGTGAAATATAGTATATTTAGTTAATAATGACCATTATATGCTAATTTAAACTTATGTAAGGTTCATTTACATAGATTAGCGAAGCACCAATCTCGTTGAAATACCGGTGTTCCACCCCTAATACCTCACTTTAATTATCTTATAGCGCCAAAACATGGCGGACGATATGGAGGGTTGCCAGTTTCCGCGAAGGTTGAATTAATTCAGGTCACGTGTGAAGTTAATATTTAGTGTTGCCTTATAACTTATGTTAGCACAAATAAGCTTTATGAAAATTAGACTTTGTTTTCATACTTTCGTGTGCTAAATGCTGTGTGTTATACAGGCCCGGAGTACGGTACGATGGAGGCAGCGTGGAAGGGCGGTATGGTGGAAGCAGAGAGGCTGTCGGATCTCCACCTGGGGGTGCGCGATCGCCTCGTCAATGACGTAATCGCACAGATCAAGAATTGGCAGAAGGACACCTATCACAAGGTACAATAACTCAGCTTTAAGGCAAGTGTATGCAAATAGGGTCACAGAAGTAAAGGACGCTGTATACCGAGCCTTCCATAGTGTGGATAGTATTTACGTGAAAAATTACTCTACAAATTACATGCATATTAAATATTTATCGCCTACTTAACGCCAGAATGACTAGAAAAATAAATAACCATATCTTCTATGTTTATGGCAAACTAAACCAAAAATTAATTCGTTGTCAGACATGTGTTCGTGGTGTTATTATATTACTGCCATTTGACACTCAGTTTTGACACAGTGTAGCTATCTACAGAGATAGGCTTAAAATTCTAAATACTGTTCGCAATCGTACTAGTTTATTAATGCTAATATTACATCGTACTGTATAAGAACGACGAGTTAGAAATTTACATAAAAATATATCTTATTATCAAATCAAAAGCAACGGTGGAAAACTGTGATATTTTTCATATTATTCGAATTAAGTTTTCAAAAATAGATTTCTACTATATAAACTTTTTTCTGATCAATGTGCCATCTTGTAAGCGAAGGTGAAATGTTTTGCTGTCCACGACCTCGGTCACCTCGTTATCTGTGCCTGGCAACACGCCAGTGCTGTGACGTCATAATATCTACCATTTGACTGCAATCAATTATAGCATATGCCAAAATGATAATTCTATATTACTGTACTTTAGTTACTCTGTCTTTGATAGTTTTGTTTGTAATACCTGAAAATAATTAAAACTAGGAAACCTGACTGACCTACGACTGTGCGAAGACAAAACATGAAAAGGTACCTGCGAAAACTTTGACCACTTATCGGTCAGATAAATTCCGTATACTTTTGTATATTTGTTCATTAACACGAAGTATTACATCGATCGATTCAAAGAAATCATGTTAAGTAATAAATTCCAAATATTGAGCAATAATTATGTACTCATTCAAGTAATACAAGTTCAAGTAATTGAACGAGTTTTTCGGGAACCCTTGCATAAGCCAGTGAAAGTTTTTAAGAAAACTGTACATACTTTCCCTTTTCTTTGCCTGTTATCTTATTATTCTAGTAATTTGCTTCTTAAAATAAATTTACATATATAAATACCCTTAGGCAAACGTATACCGTCTCAATAGAAAGAACGTGTCTACATTCTATGCGTAATCTGTTTTAATGAGTCAAATTATTTGCAATAAAAACTGACTTCGTCTGAGACTTTTAAATAATATACAGAGGAGGCATAGTGGACAACATTTTTTCACCGGTACTGTCTTTGAAAGGTACTATATCAGTCATTTTTTGTACCTAGTGTCCTTAATATGTAATAAAACATTTTACAGAATTATAGAAAGTCAATATTTTTAAATTTTACTAAAATATTATTCAATGACACGTACGAGCCAATTAATTGAAATACAATTAATTATATTGATGTGTGGTTTCGAGGATCTATTAATAGATAGCGTTAGTGAGGATTATGTGGAAAATATTTCAAGTGAAGTGTCATATGCCGCCTCTATATGTTTGAATCTCTATGTATGTTGCGTAGTTTGATTAGCATGCAGCAGTGTCACTAAGGCAATGTATTCTGTAGGAATTTTTATGTTGTTGATTACCAAAGCTATACATATTACCAATAGATTGTGAGAATTTAAAACCGGTTTACTTTTGAACTGGTATTTTCAAAATGTTTACTAATATGAAATATGCAAAACTATACACGAATCTTTTTTTCCACTTGATATGTTTTTCTAACTTTTTATGAGTATTAGTAGAATTTTGTTAATTCACTAAAATTTACTTTAACCATACCAACTAAGCTCTAAGCTTGTGCTTAACTATGGTTAACAATAGTCGAATGGCGGGATTCGAACCCTTGACCGCAAGATCGGTAGTCCGTACCCCTAACCATTAGGCTATTAGCGCTTTGAAACTTTACAAAACACATTTGAAATATTCTAAAAAAAGTTAAGGTTAGTTTGTCAGTGTAAACCAACGATTACGTTTTCTCTTCCCTTTCATGTATACGAAATATACATGAAAGGGAAGAGAAAACGTAATATTATACGAAATATTTTTACTTTAAAAAATCTCTTAATTTGCTGTTCATGAAATGCACTTGACGATCACTCTCGTATTTAATCTTAAATTTGAAGTTAGATTCATACGTATTTAGATTCATTAACTAACATACAATAGTACGACATCTATTAAGGACGTCCAGTATCGCATGGCATGCATTGACCGGTCTCATCTCATGAATAATACCACGCATGCGCTGCGCCTTAAGTTTCCTGCGAACGTAAATAGACTTATGAATCTATTTTTTTTTAAGTATAATATAACAAAATCACTGGCAATCTATCAAGAGAATTAAAAGATACGCAAATGTCCCTCGGAAATTAACTTATCAGCAAACTTTTCTTTCTAAGTTAAAGGTTCTAAGAACTTGTTTGCCTATAATGTACTTAATATATTTTTTTCATGGTGTAGCCTATGGGCTAAAGTACACAGCATGTGGCACAGTATTCTGTGACGTCATAGTATATCTTTATGCACATATTTTATTCCAAAACAAGAAAACAATAGTTGATGCGTTCCGTGTATATTTCATACAAGCGCAGTTTGACGTCTACTGTAACTTAAATAGGAGTAATTATATGCAACTAGCTTTCGCCTGCGACTCCGTCCGCTTGGAGTTCAAAAGAACAAAAGTTAATAGCCTGTGTGTTCTTCCAGACTATCCTCTAAGTCTATGCCAAATTTCATCGGATCCGTTCAGCTGTTTAGGCTACAAACTCTTAACAAACATTAATATTATTTGTTATTTTGTTTTAATTACAAGGCTTTTAAAATTATTTTTGACTACTTTTCTTTTTAACATTAAATTAACTGTCACGTTATTTTGTACAAATTAAATTAAATATGCAGCTTTAGTATACCTTATAAATAAATTCAATTTGACATAACAATTATTATGAAAGAAATAACCTTTTCCCATTGACATGTTGCATAGCGTGGGTTTGTGGGAACTCCGCGAACTTGTTTATGACTCACAAGTACTTATTGTTTCGAAACAATCGGTCATTGGATCGACCACCAACGATCAAGTCTACAATTGTTGAGAATGTCCTTGTACTGCGCCGACATTATTCCGAACTTGTCAATAACGTGATGTTCTTACACCTGTAAAAGTTCGTTGTGTCACTGTGTTTAAACAGCTAACTTCACAACCTACTATCTATCTATACATGTAATAAAATTGGAGTGTCAATTTGTTATATCAAAAGAATAAATCCAGATTTCGCAAAGATGATGTATTTGCGTTGCTGATATCGAATTTCGCATTTAAAAATTTTGTTTGTCTGTCCGCAAGCCACGTTTGTTCCGGCTAATCTCCGAAAACGGATGGGCCGATTTCGACCGGACACTCACTGAAGGGTAGCTGACATAGACAGGCATATTATAGACTAATTTTTATCTTAATATTGTGTGGACGAAGTCTCGGGCAACAGCTAGTTCCTTCTACAAATTTGCATGTAACGAGATATCTTAGGTGTTTTAAACATTGCAAGAAATGTCTATGTATCTATAGTACTAAATTGTCTGCTTTGACCTTTAACCGAAACAATGCGAGAGAAACTACACCCTGTATTTTTAATGGAGATTTTTATATGCTTCTTTTCACGGGTAAACTAAAGCTTTGTAGAAAAGAATACGCTTTTCTTGTATTCTAAAGGAATTGTAAATGTTGCTTTAGAGAGATACTAGCTAGCTGTTCCCGTGCGACTTCATCGGCATGAAATTATTTAAATTTTATTTTGTCAAATTATCAATTGCAAATGTCAAAATGACATGACATGATGACAATCTTGCATCCTTGATGTTGGCAGCAACTTATGGTCTCTTTCTCACATTAGGGTTTTTATCCAAAATATTTACCCCCTAAGTTTAATAGCGTGAAAATATATAGCCTAAAGCGTGACGTAAGTGTAGGGCTTTTTATTAATAAAAGAGTTGTTCGAAAACATGCTGTAATTGCTGACATCTTAGGCAACAAAGAAGTGTGTGTTTACGCTTTATTATAATAGTATAGAAGTATAGATTGATGGATATTGTTTTGTTGTTATATGTTACTAATACAAGGTTGCTGAAGTAACCATTCATTTTATTATTTCCCAGTGATTCATTAGTGTTAAGTTAAATTAAGTTTCAAAGGAGTTACTCAAGTTAAGTAGTTCAGAAACGCAATTCAAAAATGTATCAAACCAAAAACACTAACGAATGGTTAAACGTATCTGGGCAACTGCCCATAATAAAGACAAACATAAAATGTAATATATAAAATATATTATATCCATTAGTATGTTTGTATGTCGTGAGAGATAACGTTATATTATCGTATATATTCTTAGTAATTTTTATGACGGAAGTATTCGGAATTTTATTGTGATGAGCGATAAACAAGGACGTTTTATACAACAGTAAACAAATTAAGAGTCTTATATTAATACGTGAATTATTTGCAGTAATGACTCAAAGCTAGTGGAAATTATGCTTAAATTAATTTAATGAACAATTTATTACTGATTAGCTGTTGCCAGCGACTTCGTCCACGCAATATTAAGATAAAAGGGTAGCCTATAATATGCTTGTCTATGTCAGCTACCCTTCGGTGAATGTCCGGTCGAAATCTGCCCAGCCGTTTTGGAGATTACCCGGAACAAACGCGTGTTCAAAAATTAAATGCAATTTTGTTATCAGCAACGCAAATAAATAATCTTTATTAAATCTGGAATTTTTCTTTTGTTTTTACAAACAGACACTCCAATTTTGTATTTGTATAAATGTACAGATATACTCGTAGATATGAAACTACGTTTTTAAAAAATACTATATGTAACACAACAATCCGTAAAGGCTTGATTCTGCAATTTTATTATACCTAGTCTCTGAAAATGTCATAAAAGAACTTCGTTCGCTGTCTCGTGTATTACCTTTAGTTTGACATAAAAGCCTTGTAAGAAACATTTCGGTGCATGTAGTATTTTATCTGTACTCAACAAATTCAAACCCACTCCACGTCGTAAAGCGCGGTTACCATTCGTTCGGAAGTTTTACGATTATTTTACAGCTTAATTTGCGTACCTTTGACAGTTTTCAACGAAATCCAGTTTTCGACCTTCGAAATGTTTTCTCAGTCACGCGGACGAAGTCGCGGGCGACAGCTAGTAATATAAACCTTCAATTTATTCATCTATTTTCTCTAAATTGTTTTGCAATTTAAATGTATACATTTAATATTCGCATATAAAGGCGACAGCAATCCGTCACAGAATGTAATCTGTACGCCGTCTACATTGCAATGCTTTGTGCAGACATTGTGTGCCTCGAGCGGTGTCGTGCGCTGTATAAACTTTACTATTTTGTCATACAATACCTTGTAATATACTCTATATATTGTTATTAAGATGTATTAATGACGAGGGACGAGAGGAGTCATATATACATAGTATCACTTTATGGTAATCAGGCCTAATATCTACTACGGCCACTGGCCACCTTATTGTCAGCCTACTAACTTATATTGGCCTCTTTATCGTCGTCTTTATTTACCCAATAGTAGACACATGCCTTCTCTAATATATTCATAGAATACGATCCTTTGCCCTCCACATATTGGGACTATTATCATACTTTATACTTCATACTAATATTACAAATGTTGAAGTTTAGATGGATGGATGGATGTTTATTAGAGTTTGTAGCCTAAACGGCTGAACAGATTTCTATGAAATTTGGTATAGATGTAGAGAACATACTGGAAAAACACATAGGGTACTTACTTTTGTTTTTTTTTACTTCCACGCGGACGAAGTCGCGTGCGTAAGCTAGTCATCTCATAATTCCAACTTGGTTAAGTTAAATAAGTGAGATTCTTTTATTTTCAATTTCATGATTAACTCATGTTTGCTCATATCTAAGCCATGATACAAGTATCGTCTAGATACGGCTCAAGTATACGGAAGCACAGTCTCAGATTACCTGAGCACACACGCTAATAGATTGGCAAACAGTGACGCTGTCCACTGTACCTTGGACCATACAAATTTGCTTTGACTATAACTTTGCTCGATAAACGATTAAATATGATTATAGATACTGTTTTACCTGGTAATTATGCTGATGACGTAAGAAATAGGTTGACAAAAACTAATTAAAGTGGAAATAAATCTCGACCTTTTAATGACTTCAGGATATTCCTGTGCCTAATGTAAGTTACTAGCTGATGCTCGAGACTTCGCCCGCGTGAAATTAAAAAAATAATACAAAATATAGCTTATTATTCGTGGATAAATTACCTTTCCAATGGTGAAAGAATTTTTAAAATCGGCCCAGTAGTTTTTGCGTGAATCAAATACATACAAAAATCCAATACATACAAATCTTTCCTCTTTATAATATTAGTATAAACTAGCTTTTGTCCCTGTTTTCATCACTAAAAAAAGTTAGAAAAACCAATGTGTTCATGGTTATTTTGTCTATACAAGGTTTTTTCCTTAAATTAAAGTTAAGACCACATTTTTTTCTCACCTTAATCATTTTATCTACAAAGAAATTATGTTAGCGCGTTAAAATACATTTCACGTATGTAAACATTCAACTCTTACAATAGCTGAAAGTAAATTTTATTCGCCTTGGAATACCAAACGAGTTTCGGTTGCATTTCTTTCTGTTTCGTAATATACGTCTATTGAATTTTAAAAAGGAATTTGCAATGCACTACGTAGATCACTAGCAAACGCAACAAAAACTACTAATTGGAGTGGCTCTTGTGGCGAAAATAGTCATTGTTCCAAACAGATCGTCGTAACTTTCAATTTTTATACCAACGAGTTTGTTTCTCGTCTGCTTACTCGCCAGGTTTACTGTGGTTTTCAGGTACTTATTGAGCTAGCGCGCTCTATTTTTCGGCCGCGTCTTCACTTAGGTTAGGTGGAGTCGTTGTCAAGCGCTGGTTTATTTATGTAAAAAAAAAAACTAGGGTACACCTAACTTGGGACTTTGAACTGAGGCCAATGAGTCTAAATCCTCATTATAGCCTTACAAACGCTCAATATTAACTGATAAGTCACACTTCGGTCAAAACTGAATCTATGTTGCTTTACATTCTGTCAAGAGTTCATCTATACTTGTATTTTTGTATGTATTGAAATAATTCACTACTGGGCCTATATCAAAAATTCTTTCACCATTAACAAGCTACGTTATAAGTGAGTAACATAGGCTATATTTTTTAAATTCACGCAGGCGAAGTCGCGACCAACAGCTAATTATATTCAGGCAGTTTTATAAATGACCAAGCTTGAACTGTAGTCGAATTATTATTAGAAATGTCATTGTTAATGAACTGTATGATGGGGTAAATTGTATCCGACAGCCGACAGTATAACAACTGACATATCCATTTCAAGGCCGAGCATCTCAGGTGACATGGCGGTGACAATGTTAGTCCAGGATATACGCGAATTGGGATGTTAATGTTTAAAATATTACTCACTTTGTGGTGACGAATTGATGATGCCATTCTTGTCTTTTTAACAGAATTTCTATTTTTATGTTTACTAGCTTTCGCCCGCGACTCGGAACCAGCGCCCTGACTATCCTCTGCATCTATACCAAATGTCATCGAAATCCGTTCAGCTGTTTAGGCTACAAACTCTAATAAACATACATCCATCCAAGCTTTCGGATTTATAATATTAGTACGATAAAATGCAAAGGAATTTTTCCCAAACTACCTATAAATTAACATCGTTAAAAAATATCAGCATATTATAATAAAAATTTGTCGATATTTTCATGTCTGTAAAAATCACAGTTACTGACTACGTTTTATTGATCTTGTCCTCAATATTTTGCTTTATTTTCGTTCAACAATATGTGCCTAAACTTATCGTACTGTAATCCGAATTGACCTGATATTGCTCGTACAATATCTTTGGTTAGTATCTCAAGTTTTGACATTATCATAACACTTGATAAGTTATAAGGTAGGGCGAATGTAAGTGTATGGCATTATATAACTTTAGTACATTAAATTAAAAGTTGACAACCCTAAATTCAAATACAACAAAATAGCAAACTATGAAGCTCCATTAAATTTGCAAGGATGGGTTTGAATTATTCCGAAGCACGTCACGATTGTATTGGGCAAGCTTTGAGGCCGGAATTCCTAGGATTTTGTTTTACCGGCGTTATCTGGATTCAAAGTGGAAAGGAAATCGTATTCGACTAGTAAATTACAAATACAAATATTCAAAACTAGCTGTTGCTCGCGACTTCGCCCGTGTGAAGTTAAAAAAATATAGCCCACGTTACTCACAGATAAATTACCTATCTAATGGTGAGAGAATTTTTAAAATCGGCTGAGTAGTTTTACGTGAATCGAATACTTAGAAAATACAAATCTTCCCTCTTTATAATATTAGTATAGATATAGATACAGAAGTACAGATAACAAATATGGTACTTAATAATTTTATGTTATTTCTGTGAACCCCCAGTTCTTAAATATAGAGCTTTTAGTTGTTGGTTTAGACACGTCTTTGTCGTGTCGTGTCTAATAAATTTATCTTTGTCCACAGTCAATGATCCAATTGAAAGAACGGAAAGAGATGGACGAGGCGTTCAAAAAGGCTCAGAAGCCGTGGGCGAAGCTGCTGCAGAAGGTAGAACGCACGAGACTGGAATACCACACGGCGTGTAAGCAGGAACGTACCGCACAGAACCAGGAGCGAAACGCAAGCGGTGATAGCTCGCTCAGTCCCGACCAGGTCAGTTCACAGGTACTCGAACTTTTTCTATATCAATTACTGGATGTTGTTCCATGCATGCCAACTGTCCAAAATCTGCTTATCCTATAATTTTTGGACTGAATTTTCTTTTTCTATCTCCTGTCTCTCAATAAATGTTTAGGCATACGCTTTATGTGGATGTAATGCCTGAATTTCTGGTTCATGTCTGTAAAAATGAAACCACTAAAAAAAAACAAATTTAGTGCAGTATTTTTACAGATTAAAAATTCCGTAAATTATTAGTATTTTAAATAGTAATATTCAGTATTCTACTAATTAAATCTTAGTCTTGATGTTTTTTAATTTGTCGTAATTGAAATATGGAGACTATGTCGAAGACTTAATTCTCCATTTCTTGTTGCGAGCGCTTTGGAACGGCCTTGTAAGGTCGTTACACTTCTATTTCTGTACACACTTCGTTATTGTCAAATTTGACAGGTTCATAGATTATAATAGTTTAATAGACGCGATAGTAGACATAAACGAGTTTTACAAATATTGCAAAGGTGTTTGCTATATAAGTGAACTAAACTGTGTTAAATTGTGTAAATACTAAAGTTTCTGCATGATTTTTTTAATTCGTGCGATATTTTCTAGTCTTTAATTTGTGATCGATTTCTCATCTTGTAGGACATGATTCACTAACCTCGGAATAAAGCGGATATTCTCTTTTAGGTGTTTTTATGATTGTTGTTGACCCGGATGTCTTTATTAGGAATATATATATATGACTCAGTCACAGTTACTTTCTGTTGGAGATGACTTAATGATTGAGTTACTTTATTACGCGATACGTGACGTAATTTTATGCATAATAAATACTATGAAATAGTAAACTTGCAGGTACTTAATACTACTCTTGATCGATATCTTTAAAAAAATAGATTTTATTCGCCATAAAACATCTTTTAATGTTTGACAAATCGGTAATAAGTAACTTATTTTATCAAAGAGAACCACCAATTTTCAACTTTGTTAACCCTCATTCAAAAAGGGTTCAAACTCCGCCCATTCGATTGACTTCGGATCGTTTCGCTTTTGAAGAGGCAATTTAATTTGTCCCCTGACCCTCATTTACTATCTCATTCACCTTTATGTTGTCTCAATAGCATTTTTTAAGGAGTTGAAAAGGTGTTTCATTTTTCAAAGTACATGTAATAGTTTATTACCATCGTTCAACAACAGAAACATCCTTTCTTATGTATGAACTAGCTGTTCCCTTGCAGCTTCATCTGAGTTTAATTATAAAAATTTTATTTTATTGTTTACATTTGTCAAATTATTAATAGCAAATGTCAAAATGACATGACTTGATGACAAACTATGGCAATCTTACTTCCTTGATGTTGGCAACTTGTAGCTGATGGTCCCTTTCCCACATAAGCTGTTTTATCCAAATTTACCCCCTAAGTTTAATGGCGTGAAAATATATAGCCTAAAGCGCGTCGCAAGTGTAGAGCTTTTAATTAAATGAAGAATTATTCAAAAACATGCTGTGATTGCTGAAATCTTACGCTACAACGTAGTGTGTGATTACGCTTTATTTTATTAGTATAGATAAAAGAATTAAATTATTTATAGTATTGTCGGAAAGTTAAAATGTTTTAACAGTGAAAACCAACAGTTAGAATATAATCAATCACACACTGGGAAAGGTACGCCTTTTAAACTACATAGGTGATAACGGTATGAATTAGCAGACTTTAACATAACTGGCAAATATGTCCGTCTGTGTACTTATGTCCTTTCATGCAGTACTAAATGTCAAAGATGGCTTAGCATATAAGCCTGTGGCTTAAGCGTCTTGCCCGGTATCGATCAGACGACCCGAGTTCTTTGACCACTCGACCCATTTCCAATCGAATTACCTTATCGACCGCATTGCTCGTCCGTATTACTTCCACGTTAAATATTCATATTATTGATTTTATATAGGTGATATACAAAAATGGAGTAATACGTAATTTTAATAGTTAACCTAAACAAATTCGATTTCTTTAACTGAAGATTAAAGAGTAAATAGTAGAGTCTATTGAATTAAACAAACGTTATTAAACCTATTTTTATATATATAAGTACTAGCTTTCGACCGCGACTCCGTCCGTGTGGAATTAAAAAAGCAAATGTGTTCATCCATACTATCCTGTACGTCTATGCCAAATTTCATTGAGATCCGTTCAGTAGTTTAGACAACACACTCTAACAAACATTCACCTATCTAAACTGTCCCCTTTCACAATAGTATAATATAATATTAGTATGAAGTATGATTCCGATTTCTGTTAGCACTCAGATAGATAAAACAAATGAAAGTAATCTTACCTCTTTTTGTTTTATTTTTAAATATCGGAATACTTCATGTTATCTCATAATAGTTACTGGTTTTTTTTTTTAATGCCACGTCATCACAGGCTTTGTTACCACTATTTTTCAAAATCTCTTATACAAGAAAATCTAAAATGCATTTTTTTAAAACAGATACTGTCACAAAGTCGCTGAATGATTACTTAAGCAATCCCTTAGGTAGATTTGTCATACATATACGATACTCCCTTGATAACTATGTGTAGAAAATACCTGATAATTGCGCAAGTGAATATTTCTATAGGAATTCACAACTTGCGGTAGAGACGAGAAGTATTTTTCTATTAGACTTGTATGTGTTCACAGCGAGTGTTTACATTACATACGCTGACGGATATGCTGAAGCGGATTTTTATCTCGTATAAGAACAATAGTAAATATTCATACTTAATCTGATCATCGTTTTTATTGCATTTTAATGCCTAAAGTTAGTTTCTACGATGTTAAATACAGTACCACATTTGTGATTCCGAAGTCCACACACTTCCCTAGTATAAGTCTAGTATTTCCGCGTTCGCTTCTTTACTATAAACAAGGTATAATAGAATTTGTATCACGTTGAATTCCTGAGCGTGTTAAGTTCAAAGGTCGCAATAGCCGGATATCACGTATACCACAAATACATGTGGATGGATCTTGTTAGGATCGTAACATTTCTTTGTACGTATTTTGAAGCGTTTACTAGAATCATCTTAGTTCTTGTTTATGGACCAATTTCCAGTCTTCCCTCTCTTGTGCCATCCTCTTGACAACGCCCTTTTATTCTTTTAGTTACATGTTATTCTTGGTCTTACTCTATTTATTTTCCCTTCCATTGTGATGGCTATAGTGTCTCCTCTCCAATCATGTTCCTCAAACGACAGTTCTTGATGCTATTGTAGATAGACCTATGAATACCAAGGTTACGTGAATTTGTGTAGTAACGTAGGGCATATTATTTTGAACTGTGTTCTCTTTGTGTTTTTGTTAATATGTTGCTCGTACTGTTCTTTGTAACATGTAAGTAAAAGTTATCAACTTGACTATAACTACGTTGAAGTTTTCAACTTTGTGAACCACATCAAGTTTTGTGAGAATCAAAGTTATACACATCAAATTTTGTGAAAATTAAACGTAAACTTTTTAATTACATATCTTTAGTGTTAAAGTTTTAATTAAATTTCTTACCTCGAATTTATTATAATCCTAAGTTTAGTTCGTTACTTTATATGACGTAGTCTAGAATTGTTTATGTTTTTGTTCTAATTGACTCATCAACGTCATCTCATTGAAGGTAGATGCCCGAAGAAAGTGTGGAAGGATTGTGTGATAGAAAATATGCGAAATTACTCGTAAGTTAGGGAATTGAGATATGACGGCTTAGAAAAAAGTATACATACTGTATTGGGTTCGAATCCCGCCATGTACCAATGTGATTTTCGATTTTTCGAATTTTCACATGTACATAATTTACCCGACGTTCTTACGGTGAAGAAAAACATCGTGATGCCTGCACATATCGGCGAAGAAATTCAAAGATATATGTGAAGTCAACCAAACCGCACTTGGCCAGCGTGGTTGACTATGGCCTAGTCACCCTTACTTAGGGTAGGCTCCGAGCCCCTCGATGGGGACATATAGTGAGCTGGTAATGATGATACATACTGTGCTCATATAACTCAATACTACAACAGGCTGATGATGACTGATTTAGTAAACTACTAGTAAATAAATGTTATTAGAATGACGTTGAATCATAAAAATAAAATAGTATAAATTAAGCATTAATAATTAGTTGATTACTCGCGACTTCGTTCCTGTGAAATTAAAAAAAAAAGATGTAGCCTATGTTATTCACAGATAAATTACCTTTCTAATGGTAAAAGGATTTTTAAAATCGGCCGAGTAGTTTTTACAATACATACAAAAAACAATTCTTTCCTCTTTATAATATTAGTATAGATATATGCCAGATTAAATATCGATATCGTGTTATATCTCAGCATTAAATGCATTCAATAGACGTACGACCTTATTTTGACGTTTGAATAAATAATATTTTACAATTACACTACATGTCTTGTAAATATTTGATATTACAACCTTCTGAGCAAACAATTCCTACACAATATGTTCTTACAGCTATGTTATTCAAAATACCTTTTATGTTAAAACCAGACAATTAGCTATTATGTTAAGATTGTAGGTATTATGTAATATGCACATATGTAGTGTATTATTATGTTATTAATCTAGACTTTTATACTAATTGAAATAACTCAAAAACTACTGGGATTAAAAAAATTGGTACTATTAAAAATTATGTTATCACTGAGTAACATAGACTATATATTTGTTTTAATTCCAAGCAGAAGTTGCGAGCAATAGCTAGTGTTTACTAATATTATAAAGAGGAAAACTTTTTTTGATTGTATTGAATAGGCTCGAAAACTACTGGGCCGATTATGAAAATTATTTGACCGTTAGAAAAGTAATTTATCTGTGAGTAACATTAGGCTATATTTTTTCACTACTTTATTATTATTTTTAATCTTCACGCGGACGGAGTCGCAGGTACAAGCATAGTAGTATAATAAGCATAGTAGTATATAATGTAAGTAGTATATTACATGTTAACAACGATATAC